AGACGGTGCAGTGTGTGTGTGGACCACGCCGGTAGTAGACGGTGCAGTGTGTGTGTGGACCACGCCGGTAGTAGACGGTGCAGTGTGTGTGTGGACCACGCCGGTAGTAGACGGTGAAGGGTGTGTGTGGACCACGCCGGTAGTAGACGGTGCAGTGTGTGTGTGGACCACGCCGGTAGTAGATGGTGAAGTGTGTGTGGACCACGCCGGTAGTAGATGGTGAAGTGTGTGTGTGGACCACGCCGGTAGTAGACGGTGCAGCGTGTATGTGGACCACGCCGGTAGTAGAAGGTATAATATATCTGGTTCGCAGCGGTTAGAGGACTTTAAAAAAATCCAAGATAATTTATTTTTCTCCATATCTTCCTGATCTTTGTGACTTATTGTCGATTCCGTGTGACTTGTGTGACTATGGTTTAACACTCGCCAGTCACTAATCACTTGGGTTCAACGTTTCCACGCGTCATCTGTTTATGATCTTCTTAGAACATTTTTAACTTTCTCAAGCGTTCTTCAGCATCAAATCATGTTCGTCTTGGATTGGTGGTTCACACATTTATTTACATTTGAATCAAGGTGTTCCGAAATCTCATCTACATTTGATTGGTTGTGCACAGGTCCCATTCATCTTGGATTGATGGTTCACACATTTATTTACATTTGATTGGTCGTTCCGAAATCTCATCTACATTTGATTGGTTGTGCACAGATCCCATTCATATTGGATTCGTCGTGAGGTTTTGATAATGCAAAACCTTTTTTCTTCTTCTTTTAACTGTGAAGAATTTAAAAATTAAAACGTTGATGTTGAACCATTATTTTGGAAAGATTGATTAACTGCCTGGGAATACCACCTATTTTGTGTGTGTGTGTGTGTGTATACAGTCTAAATATGAATATAAATGATATTTCTAGGTTTATTATTAAGACTGTCGGTTCTGGTCATGTCTAAACGATCTGCAATGTAGTGAGTGAGAATAACTAGATGGTGGTGTTTGTTATCAAGGTGTGGGGAATATAAAGATATTCCCCAAACCGATCTTATAAACCCTAATTCTAGAATTTCAGCCAAGAGCAGAGGTTTCTCGTAAGATAAGAGTGTAGAAAGCGCACGTGCGCGCACACACACACAAATGTCACACATCATTAACAGTATTTTTGTCTTGTATTGAAATCTGGTCGAGTAAGAAAAAAAAATCTTTTTCTAGTAGTCTCGACTTCTTTTAAAAGTTTTTTTTTTGAAGTTAAAAAAAAGGATTTTCCTGACACTTGACAAATGATATTTGTCCACCGAGAATCTGTCTCACACTATTTTTTTTTTACAATCATCAATCAACCGAAACTGAAACTGATGAGATTGTTCTATGTTGCCATGACAGCAGTATCAGTCAAATTCAATGAACAATTTTGCATCACATAATTAAAAACAACAACAACAAAAAAAAACGTCTTAATATGAAACACTACACAAAGCATATTATCCTTCAAGTGCAATACGGTTTGAGGCAAGTTTTGATGATAATTCCTTTCAACGTTGCTGTAGACACATCGGGGTGTCAAGGCCCGGCATGGCCAGGTGGTTAGGGCACTCGACTCGCAATCTGAGGCATGCTCGCCCTTTCAGCCGTGGGGGGGGGGAGTTATAATGTGTTAAAAGAGTTAAAAGAGTTGGCGGTGGGTGGTGATGACTAGCTGCCTTCCTTCTAGTCTTACACTGCTAAATTAGGGGACGGTTACGAAATTTCAAAGTCAAGGAATTTGAAATAACAAATTCGGATAAAATTTCGCCCCATCCCCACAATTTTTTTTTGTCTTTTAGCAAATTTTAACATAACTTTAGCCAGACACTATCTTATGTTGTATGTGGTGAGTATTATCTAATGTATTATATTTAATTATAGTTTAATTTTATATTATTTTAAAAATAAAAGGTTGAAATATCAGGATCTCGTACGACTGTGTATGTGGGTCTAAAAAACCTGGATGTTTTATTAAGGAACTTTGCATGGAAAGATAGGGAAATTCCTTGATAGCTGGGATGTATTCTTCCAGTGAGTTGCATGGAAAAGTCTGGAAAATGCCTTGATAGCTGGGATGTATTCTTCCAGTGAGTTGCATGGAAAAGTCTGGGAAATTCCTTGATAGCTGGGATGTATTCTTCCAGTGAGTTGCATGGAAAAGTCTGTAAAATTCCTTGATAGCTGGGATGTATTCTTCCAGTGAGTTGCATGGAAAAGTCTGGAAAATTCCTTGATAGCTGGAATGTATTCTTCCAGTGAGTTGCATGGAAAAGTCTGGAAAATTCCATTCTAACTAGGGTGACTTTTTTCAGAAGTTTGCATGAAAAGCGAGGGAAATTAATTTGTAGCTTGGGTGTTTTCTTTAGGAAGTTTGCCTGGAAAGCCTTTGTAGCTGGTATGTTTTCTTCCATAAGGTTGCCTGGAAAGCCTCTGTCGCTTGGATGTTTTCTTCCATAAGGTTGCCTGGAAAGCCTCTGTCGCTGGGATGTTTTCTTCCATAAGGTTGCCTGGAAAGCCTCTGTAGCTGGTATGGTTTCTTCCATAAGGTTGTCTGGATAGCCTCTGTAGATGGGATATTTTCTTCCATAAGGTTGCCTGGAAAGCCTCTGTAGCTGGGATGTTTTCTTCCATAAGGTTGCCTGGAAAGCCTCTGTAGCTGGGATGTTTTCTTCCATAAGGTTGCCTGGAAAGCCTCTGTAGCTGGGATGTTT